TCTCGGTATGTTACCTTTCGAGGCTTTGTATGGTAAGGCTCGTCGGACCCTATTGCGTTGGAATGAAGTTGGTGAAAGAACTATTTTGGGCCAGAATTGGTAGATGAGGCTACCCGAAAAATACAAGTAATCAAGAAAAATCTGAAGATAGCTCAAGACAGACAAAAGAGTATTATTGATGATCACACGAGGCATCGTGAGTATAATGTTGGGGATTGTGTATTCTTGAAGTTGTCACCCTACAAAGGCGTGGTGAGGTTTGGGAAGCGAGGAAAGCTGAGTTCTCGATACATTGGTCCCTACTTATCATTGTCACGTGTTCACAATGAGTTCCATGTTTCGATGCTTCAAGGGTATGTACCAGGCGAATCACATATGTTGGAATCATCATAGGTGGAGCTACAAAAAGATCTGAGCTATAAAGAGGAACTAGTTGTGATAATAGATCAAGGAGAGAAAGCACTTCGGAACAAGACGATACCTTTGGTGAAGGTTCTTTGGCAAAATCATAAGATGGAAAAGGCTACTTGGGAAACTGAAGAAAGTATGAGAACTCAATATCCCTATTTGTTCTACTAGAGTGGTAGAAATTTTGTGGACAAATTTTTTTTAACGGGGTACACTGTTACAACCCGTACCACATTGTATTTTATTCTCAAGATGTGTGAAATGACTTTTTTGCCCTTGAGTAGGTGTTAATTAATTTATCGACCCTCAACTCAAGAATCACATCCTCATACTTTCTTAAGTTTCATAATTTTGATTTTGGTACGTAAGTTTTACGTCAAAATTGAATTGAGACCTTGAAGGCATAATCGTAATTTTTGTAATTTTTACAATTAGTGAGGGGTAATTTCGTAATTTTGTTTAGTGACTTTAAGTGGGATTATATTTCTCTCGATCCCTCTCTTTTCTCCCTCAGTTGAAACACAACTCACCTTCACTCTCTCTTTAACACTCGAAACCATCACTTTCTCTCTCTAAGCTTCGAGAGCTCCCATCCTCTTTCCTCTTCCCTCTTCGAGCCCATAGCAAATTGAACCTAAAAACCTTGAAATTGTCATCTCTGGTATAAGAGGAACATGGGGATGCTCTTGCATGTGCATCAGAGCATCGTAGTGTAAATTGCCATTAAAGCCAAGAGTTAAAGCTCTGAAACTCAAGCCCAGGTGAGGTTCTATTGGAAGAATAAGCCGTCCTACCTTGTCTCCTACCTTGTCCAAGCCGTCCTACCTTGTCCTACCTACACACTTGTATCCCTTAAGTGTTTCATGTATATAGATCCTTGTAATCTTGTAGAGAAATATAATGAGAAAAAGCATTCTCTTCCATATTTTCCACATGGTATCAGAGCCGGAACCTTAACTGGCCTGACTCCATTGTTGTCCCTTCTCTTCTTCTGCACATTCGTTTCGATAATGGCAGAAGATAATCTTTTTGGCTCAGAAGCTGAAAGCTTCACAGCTCCTCGCCCTAGTTTTCCAGAAGCTGAAGTCAACCCAAACCAACGTTTGTGTTCTGTGTTGTTAAATGAGTTTAACTATCTTCCATGGTCCAGATCAATATCTCTTGCCCTTGGAGGAAGATCCAAACTTGGATTCGTCAATGGAAGTATTGAAGCACCTGACGTCGCATCGCCGGAGTATGAAGCATGGCTGTGCAAAGACCAGCTGGTCATGTCGTGGCTCCTCAACTCCATGGATCCTAAGCTGTCTGAAATTTTCAGTTTTTCAGAATCCTCTAGTGCTCTTTGGAAGGCAGTCAAGGACATGTATGGAAATCAAAACAATGCTGCTCGAGTGTTCCAGCTTAAGAGGAATCTCGCAAGTCTTCAACAAGGTGATAAATCCTTTGTTCATCATCTCGGTTGCATGAAAAACATGTGGAATGAACTAGATATGTATCGACCACACACTATCGATGCTGCCGTACTGTCAAAAAGGTCCGAGGAAGACAAAATATTTCATTTGCTTGCAAGTTTGGGTTCTGAATATGAAGATCTTAGAAGCCATATTCTAATGAATCCCGAACTTCCATCATTTGCAAGTGTTTGCACTACTATCCAACGAGAAGAAGTACGCAGAAAAGTCATGAATGTTGACGTAAAACCTAGTGTGTCTGAGGCTAGAGCTTTTGTGACAAATCACAAGTCATTTGGAGATAAAGTATACAAGGGAAAAAGGCCAGATTTGAAGTGTCTACATTGTAATAATGTTGGACATCTAATAGATCGATGCTGGATATTGCACCCTGAGTTGAAGCCAAGGTTTGAGAACAAGCCTTTAAGAGATCATAAGGGCTCACACGCTAGACCACATACAAACAAGTACCATGCTACTGCTGCTACATCCATCGGTGGGTCGATGAACTTTACAGCTAATCCGGCTGACTTGTTGAATGAGTTCTCAACCTACCTTCAAACCAGAAAAGGAAGCACAGGTGAAACGTCGACTGGGGAAAGTCAAACTGCTCTTCTTGGACAGTTTGCAGGGTTCTTAGCTGAATCTGGTCATGTACCTCAATGAGACATTCCAGGTATCATGTGTGCTCTTTCAACTGCTCTAAATGTTAGTCACTCTCATGATTTTTGGATTATAGACTCAGGTGCCATAGATCACATGACAAATCAATATTCAAAGCTATACGATTTTGAAAGCTACACTAAACCATCACTAGTTTCTGTAGCAAATGGTAGAGGTGTGCCAGTTCTAGGTAGAGGGAAAGTTAAACTGATCTCAGAAACTGTTGAGTCCACAGCGTTATATGTTCCATCTTTTCCTTTTCAATTATTGTCCGTAGGAAGGATTACAAACTCTCTAAACTGTCGTGCAATTTTTTCCCCCCACAATGTTGTTTTTCAGGATCTAGCCACCAAGAAGCTGATTGGTGAAGGTCACTACGTAAATGGGCTGTACTATTTTTCAGAGGACCTCAATGTTCCAAAGGGGTTCCAAGTCAGCTCAAACCTAGAACATTGGTTGTGGCATCAACGCCTAGCCCATCCCTCAGAATTTGTGTTGTCTACGTTGTTCCCTAGTTTATGCAAATCCTCCCTTGTATGTGAAATTTGTCATTTGTCAAAATCTACTAGACTCCCATTCAATTCTTCCATGTCTAGGACTAGCAAGTTTTATGAGATGGTGCACTCCGATGTTTGGGGACCTGCACCTCTAGAGTCTTTTGATGGTTATAGGTACTACGTTATCTTTGTTGATGATTTCTCAAGAGCCACTTGGTTGTACCTCCTAAAATTCAAAAGTGAAGTTATGGATGCTTTCAAGGACTTTCATAATCTTGTCATGAACCATTTTTCGTCCCAAATCCACATACTAAGGTCTGATAATGGCACTGAATATACATCCAAAAATATGACTAACTATTTGAGCACCCATGGAATTATACATCAAACAAGTTGTGTAGGTACTCCTCAGCAAAATGGAATTGCCGAAAGGAAGAATAGGGACCTACTTGAAAAAACCAGGGCGCTAATGTTGCAAATGAATGTGCCTAAGAGGTTTTGGTCTCAAGGAGTTCTTGCAGCCACCTACCTTATCAACAGACTGCCTAGTCGTGTTCTGGATACAAAATCACCATCTGAGGTTATGCAAAACAAAAAAATTAATCTTTCCCATCTGAGAATCTTTGGATGTACCTGTTATGTTCATATTCAATCCCATCACCGAGACAAGCTTGATCCCAAAGCTGTCAAGTGTGTTTTCATGGGATACTCCTCCACCCAAAAAGGGTACAAATGCTACAATCCGTGCTCCAGGAAGATGTTTGTCTCAAGAGATGTACGGTTTGATGAAAACCAACCATATTTCAACAAATCATCAGATCAAAATCGTCAGGGGGAGCACTTCCTAGATCTCTTCCCATTGCCAAATCCAGTCGAATCAAGTGACTGTGTCCATTCACTACCTCACAACCGGGACTCTCATGCAACCCTTAATGACAACCTGCTTATTGGAGATGACACTGAAGCCTCAAAAGCACAAGTAGTTCCCCATGACCATAACACAACATTTATACAAGAGAGTGGAGCTGAACCTATTGTGATCCCAGCTCAACCTCGCAGGAATCCGACTCGAGATTGACATCCACCATCAAGGCTGCAAGACTATGAAACTTACCATGCAAGGTACCCTATTCACAAGTTTGTAAATTACTCCAAAGTCTCTCACTCTCATATAGCCTTCCTCAGTAAACTGTCCTATGAAAGTGAACCAAGGAACTTTCAAGAAGCCAATCGTCAAGTTGTGTGGAGGCTAGCCATGGAAGAAGAACTCAAAGCCTTGAATGAAAATAAAACCTGGAGTGTAGTTCAACTTCCCAAAGGCAAGAAGGTGGTAGGCAGTCGGTGGGTCTATAAAATCAAGTTTAATTCTGATGGCTCAATTGAACGACACAAGGCAAGATTGGTGGCTCGCGGTTTTACTCAAACTTTTGGAGTGGACTATAAGGAGACATTTGCTCCCGTGGCTAAGATGAGCACAATAAGGGTTTTGTTATCTGTTGCAGTGAACCATGAATGGCCATTGTACCAAATGGATGTAAAAAATGCTTTTTTACATGGAGACCTCGAAGAGGAAGTCTACATGCAACTACCCCCGGGTCATCCACAAGCACAGAATTCAGGTATGGCTTGCAAGCTTCATAAGTCAATCTATGGCTTGAAACAATCTCCTCGTGCCTGGTATGCCAAACTGAGCTCGGTACTTGAAAATTTTGGGTTCAAGAGAAGTCATGCTGATTCCTCCCTGTTTGTTCGAATAGGATCAGTTGGCAAATTAGTTGTACTAATCTATGTTGATGATATCATCATCACAGGTGATAACATTGATGAGATTCACACTCTTAAACATTCTCTTCATCAACAATTTGCCATTAAAGACTTAGGAATTTTAAAATACTTCCTTGGGATTGAACTGGCCACTTCCCCCAAGGGACTTTTTTTTAATCAAAGGAAATATGTGATTGACTTACTTCAAGAAGTGAAGATGATGGATTGCAAACCAACTCGTACTCCTCTTGATAGCAAATTGAAGTTGGACTTGACAGGAGAACCTCTCAGTGATATCAGTTACTACCAACGATTGGTGGGTAAGCTTATATATCTCACCATCACCAGACCGGATATAACTTACGCCGTCAGTCTTGTAAGCCAATTCATGCATGCACCCACTGAAGCTTATTTAAATGTTGTTAAAAGAATTCTCAGATACCTCAAAGGCTCCATTGGTCGGGGAATCGTCATGAAAAACAATGGTCATACTCAAATCATTGCCTACACCGATGCTGACTGGGCAGGGAATGCTATTGATAGAAAATCCACTACTGGCTACTGCACGTTGGTTGGAGGAAACCTCGTGACATGGAAGAGCAAAAAACAAAATGTAATTGCTCGCTCAAGTGCCGAAGCTGAGTATAGAGCCATGGCTTCCACTGCATGTGAACTCATTTAGCTCAAGGGCCTTTTCTCGGACTTGGGGTTCTCAATCAACACACCTATGTCTCTTTTCTATGACAATCAAGAAGCTATGCATATTGCCTCCAATCCGGTGTTCCATGAACGCACCAAACACATTGAAGTTGATTGTCACTACGTTCGGGAACAAGTCCAGTCCAAGGTAATTCAAACCACATTCACTCGAAGCCAAGATCAACTTGCTGATATTTTCACGAAGTCTCTTGCTTCTCCTCAGTTTCAAAGTCTGCTCTCCAAGCTTGGATCAATTAACCTCCTTGATCCAGCTTGAGGGGGAGTATTGGAAGAATAAGCCGTCCTACCTTGTCTCCTACCTTGTCCAAGCCGTCCTACCTTGTCCTACCTACACACTTGTATCCCTTAAGTGTTTCATGTATATAGATCCTTGTAATCTTGTAGAGAAATATAATGAGAAAAAGCATTCTCTTCCATATTTTCCGCAGGTTCTCTTAGTCATTCTTGCTTGTTTGTGTTTTAAGGTTACTTGAGACATATATCATGATGTTTTTCCATTTGAAACCAAGGATTTAACCCCTGCAATCATTCTATACCTGTTTCCCAGATTTCGGTCATCTTCTTTGTGCAAACTCCAACGACTTTGTGGGTTCTAGAGCTCCGGTTCAGTTCCAATCTATTCCAGGTATTTGAATATATTTTTGCATGCGGGTTTTAGGCTTGAAAACGTTAGATTTTGACATGCATGCTCCCTGTTCTTCATTTTACAGAATTCATGAGTTATACCGAGCTCAAATTGTTGAATCTGAGGTGGATTCAACATCTCCTTGTCCTAAAAACATTCTAGATGAGTTCCTGGTGATTTTTAGGATGAAATTACACAAATTTTGGCTTTGAAATCGATGAAATCGAGCTCGAGAGCCCTTAATCAAATTCCTGTGTTTTTCTACAGTTTTCGGAGACAGCACCAGGGACTGTCAAAGGCAGTCGCCATTAGTTTTGATGGCGACAACTCATATTTTGTTAACTTTAATGGAATCCAGTGACGAAAAAGGTATATTATGTTATCTCTGTTTTAATCTCATAGCACCATCGCGTGGCACCGTTGATGGCTAGTGCGACACCTACTTGCCAAACCGCAACAACGCGTTCACCGGTGATGGCAGCCCATGGCGGTGCATGTTTCCCATTGCATGACACCAAGTGGTGGACCGTGGCCAGAACACGGCAGCGCGTGATAAACCCGAGACCTAACTTGAGATTTTTAGTGTTCTAAATCACGTGGTGCCCTCCGTTTGTGCAAATTCAAAGCTTAAATGGTTCAATTGGACTTTGTTCCATTAAAATGATCATTTAATCTTATTTTAGCTTATATTGATATTCACATGTTGATTGAGAATCAAAAGGATATAGGCAATGAGCTTAACTGCGAGAGACGCTCTGCCTCCCTGAGAGTGGAACCCTTTGAAAAACCAAATGTTTTTACGTATATATACATCTATTTACGTATTTTCATAAATGCTTAATATGTGGATGCATAGTGTTGTGTTAGTCTCAGATGAGACTTGCGATGATATCAATAATACCTCTAGATCATTTGTGATCTATTTTCACCACATAGTCATCATGTGATGAGTTGTATAGCTATCTTCGGTCGTAGATTTGTTTGCAGGTTATATTGTCCTATTGGACGCTAGGGTTGATGAGTATTACTGGTATTGAGATTAACTAGTTGATGCTAGTGTGTGTGTGTGTGTGTGTGTGTGTGTGTGTGTGTGTGTATTCTGCTTGCTATACTTATGTTAGTGGACGCTAGCATGTTTGATTGATGAAGGGTATGCTATCTGAACTTAAACTTGATGATTTTTCATTGATATTAATGAATGAGATTTTACTGTTATGGTAGTATTATATTATATAGTTTTCAATATATATATATATGTGTGTGTGTGTGTGTGTGTGTGTGTGTGTGTGTGTGTTTTCAAAACAGGGGTCTTATGTTTAATGATAATTTTATAACTATGATAAAACTAATTCACTCACGTTTTATTTTATCGACCCCTTTAGGACATAACGAGATTAAGGAGAATACCGATGGGGACGAGTGGGCTTGGCAGTGAGGCTTTCATCCTTTGGATTTTAGGTGATGGCTCCTTTACTGTAGTTTTATCTTAATTGTAATATTTGTTGCGTGATCATACTTTTGAATATACATAGCACTGCACTCTGTTGTATTTACTGTTGTGTGAAACTTATAGCTGCTCTGGTGTGATGTGATTAATAACAGGGTTAAACCCAAGATAATTTGTGTCCCCAAGTAGGGAGGATGATAACTATTTTTGTAGTAGCTTTAGATTTTATTATTTAATGAAATTCTTTTGGTTCAAAGTCTTACACATCATGATTATCTTGCGATGGTTTCATCATTGAATTGGCTTGTGACGTCAGCTCTCGATGGGGTCATATAGTCAATTTAGTGTTGGCCAGCACATCACGATCTCGTAACGTATGTTATTGGGGTTAGGGTGTGTCACTTCGAGCTTATGATCGGTATTGTTAATATTATATATCACTCTCTAAAGATCATCGACGACATTATTCGGCAAAACCATTGCGAATCATTTATCTATTTACTACAATTAATTGGCTAAATGATCTGAATTTTAATTTATTTTTTATGAGGAAATTGTAGTAATGGTCCCTCAACTTTAACCCTATTGAAGCAATGGTCCCTCAACTAAAAATCCATGACCATTTGTCCGTTAACTCCACAAAACGTGCAGTTATCTATTTACTACAATTAATTGGCTAAATGATCTTAATTTTAATTTATTTATTATGAGGAAATTGTAGTAATGGTCCTCTCACCTTTAACCCTATTGGAGCTATGGTCCCTCAACTAAAAATCTATGACCATTTGTCTGTTAACTCCACAAAACGTGTGGTTATGGTCATTTTTGTTAACTCTGTCAGAACGATTAATGTTAGAAGAATTATTGCTACAATCAGGCTAAACTTTGGACCATTGCTTCAATTGAATTAAAGTTGAGAGACCATATCTCTAATTTGGTTAAAATTGAGGGACTATTTCTACAATTTCTCATTAAGTTTCCCATATTTGCCTCTTAATTCATTCTCAATGTACGTGATTCATTTTTACAGAAGTTTTAACAGATGTAACAAAAAAGACCATAGCTACACGTTTTGATGAGTTAAGGGACCAATGATCATGGATTTTTAGTTAAGGGACCATTGCTCTAATTGGAATAAAGTTGAGAGATTAATGCTTCAATTAGATTAAAATTGAGGAACTATTGCTACAATTTTTTTTTTTTTTTTTTTTTTTTTTTTGTGGAGATAGATCTTTACATTTGATTTACATATAAACCATTTCGATTATAAACAGGCTCTCGGAGTCGGCCACGAAGTTCCTCCTCTCTCCCCCGCCGCGTAATGAATTCGCGCGAAAACCAACAAGCCCATTAACCGACCACAAGCCAATCGAACACTGAAATTGAAACCCTATGCATTCTACTTATCATCCATCCTAATTCTCGTCCTTACAATCTCCTTCAATTTCCCCAAAACAAACTTCCTCAAAACCCAACTCCTAAAGCACACATTCTCATCACACCCCACCACCATTGTCCAAAACCTGTTCGGCTTTCTTCATCCAATTAAAAAACCCCAACAAACCCAGCCGATAAATCCCACTCCCAAGCCCCTCAACTGTCTTCTATGGATGGCTCCTTTCCTTTCAGGTGGTGGGTACAGTTCAGAAGCTTGGTCTTACATTTTATCCCTTGACCAACACTCGAAAAACCCGATTTTTCGAATAGCTATCGAGCAACACGGCGATCAGGAATCCTTGGAATTCTGGGAAGGGTTGCCTGAATATGTCAGGAAATTGGCAATTGGGCTTTACAACACACGATGTAGTATGAAGGACACTGTGGTTATTTGTCACAGTGAGCCCGGTGCTTGGAACCCGCCATTGTTCGAAACACTGCCTTGCCCACCAGCTGCTTACCAAAAGTTCAAGTCCGTCATTGGACGGACCATGTTTGAAACCGATAGAGTGAACGCGGAGCACGTGAAGCGCTGTAATCGGATGGATTATGTTTGGGTTCCTACGCAGTTTCATGTGTCGAGTTTTGTACAAAGCGGGGTTGATCCTTCTAAGGTTGTGAAAATTGTGCAGCCTATTGATGTTAAGTTCTTTGATCCGCTTGCGTATGAGCCGTTGAATCTTGCGTCTGTAGGGAAGTTGATTATGGGTAAGGCAACGCAGGATTTGGAAACGAAGAAGAAATTTGTGTTTATGAGTGTGTTTAAGTGGGAGTACAGGAAAGGATGGGATGTGTTGTTGAAATCATATTTGGAAGAGTTCAGTGAAGCAGATGGCGTTGCTTTGTATCTTTTGACAAATCCTTATCACTCTGATAGAGATTTTGGGAATAAGATAGTGGAGTTTGTGGAGAAATCTGGAATTGAAATGCCAGTGACCGGTTGGGCTCCAGTTTATGTGATGGACACTCACATAGCTCAAACTGATTTGCCGCGAGTGTACAAGGCAGCTGATGCATTTGTTCTTCCATCAAGGGGGGAAGGGTGGGGAAGGCCCCTCGTGGAAGCGATGGCAATGTCATTGCCCGTGATTGCCACAAATTGGTCTGGGCCTACGGAGTATCTGACTGCGGAGAATAGCTATCCATTGCCGGTGGACAGGATGAGTGAAGTAATGGAAGGGCCTTTCAGAGGACATCTCTGGGCAGAACCTTCGGTTAGCAAGCTTCGTGTTCTAATGAGGCGCGTGGTGAATAATGTCGAGGAAGCCAAGGTAAAAGGGAAAAAAGCAAGAGAAGACATGATCAAAAGGTTCTCTCCTGAGATTGTTGCAGATATCGTTACAAAACATGTACAACATATACTTCAGAAGGTGAATCGGTAGGATGGCATGAACAACGAGTCTATATTGCTTCTTGTGCTTGAAATGGGGCTTACAAATGGCTTTGTCGAATCTGTTGGCATGAACAACGAGTCTACATTTTCAAGGCGTCGTTCGGAGGTAGTCGGATGCTATGAGGAGTCAGAAGTATTTTTATTGCAAGTGATTTTACTGTATTTGAATGGTGCTACGGTGTATGGATTACTAGTTACAAATTTACAATTTGCTTGTTACATGGGATGCCAAGAGGTGTGCTCTACTTTTACACGCAAATTCAAATCCTCATTCCCTTAATTTAGATTAAATTAATAACAATATCGCTTAAATAAGAAAAACAAGCTCACTTTTATGGAGGAAACAAGTGGTGGTACTTCTTCTATGCATTTTGCTAGTATAAACAAACAACAACGACAATAGCCTTATCCCACAAAGTGGGGCCAACTATATAAATCCTATAACGTTATTGCATTCGGTTTTGTACCATTTCTTCTGTTAGATTCAAGTAGTCCAAGTGTTTTCTTAGAGTCGTTTTACAAGTCTTCTTAAGTCTTCCACTACCCATTTTGGCCTTGAGCCTCTGTTTTGTAATCGCATCTTCTAATCGAAGCATCTGCAAGTCTTCGTTTCACATGTCCAAATCACCTTAACTGATTCTCTCTCATCTTATCTTCAAGTTCGGCTATTTCTAATTCACCTCGGATATCCTCATTTCTAATCATGCGGGCATGAGATAAAAATGAAGTTTCAAGAACGCATTCTATGGCTCCTGGTTTCATGACTATGTAAAATTAAATTAAAAAATGTTGCTTAATTCTTATTAGATGGGATGCCGAGCAGCAACTAATACGATTTTCCTTCTTTTCCTGCCCATACAGTACTCAAATCATTCTATTACGAGCGCTTGTCACTATTCCATCAACACCCAATGAAGCATTCACCATCACTAACCGAAGGCTACGGAAGATGAGGTGTGAACGCTGCAAGAACTTCCTTATAAACAGGCTTCTTAAAATCCAGAGTCTGCACGATTTAGAAGAAAGAATACATGTTAAATACTATGACTGTGTAAAAAGCAATTCAAACAAATGTGTATGGCAAGGTTAACGTACAAGATCAACTACTTGTTCTGTTGACATCCATGACCACTCCCCAAACCCAGGTTTTTCACTTCCATCGCCTAAAAGATTGATTTCGTCATCCTTCCCAGTGAACTTAAGAAGAAACCTGTGAAATTCAACATGCATGCAATTCTGTAAATAAGTCAATGTGCATATGAGCATAGCGATACAAAACTTATGTATATTGATAGCATGTTTAAATGATAAAACTTGTAATGATCGTTAAACGAAGGTGATGGCATGCCTATTAGGTTATAATCTGGAATAGAACTTTGTACTCAGATGATAGACGAAACAGGTTGCAGCCTACCCAACACGCAAGGCACTGTATACCGACACTAACCATTTCTGTGCTTGGTCCTTCCAATCTGATCCCCACTGATGCCGAAGTTTTTCCCTAACTTCTGGTGGGAAATCATAAGTTAACCAATAAGGTGCCTGGAAAAAAATCTAGAAAACAATAAGGTACTCCGCAAGTGAGAAAAGAATGTCGGCTCTAGAATGTTCGAACATAACAGAAAATATAAAGACTGATTACTATTTTTTCTGGTGCTTAAACTGATTCCCTGCTAATCAAGTAACCAAAGCAGAAAACTTGCGATGAGAAAGGAAGGAACCACTAAATGCCAACATGACACAACCATTCTCTTTGTTATTTATATAATAATATAGTTGATTACGATTTAGGCCAAGCATAAATAATGAGAATCAAATGTGGTTTTTGGCTAGATAATTGAAGAATATTTGGTGTCTGACAAGTGATAACCAATGAAAATAATCAATAAAATTTCAGCAAAGATAAAACAGATTTATCAGCTTATCCTTCTGCATTCCCCAACTCTTTCTTCAGCGAAATGCAGACTCACAAATTTACTTCAAGCAGTTTAAAAATGTCCTGAAACAATGAAACAATGGAGGGAAATACAAGCATAGCAAGTGTCGTACCTCTGCAAGAATTTCTGCTGATTTAACTCCTGTCTCTTCTCTTATTTCCCTGATGGCTGCACTTCTTGGATCTTCAGCCTCATCAATACCACCCTTCCCAAAACAATTTTTTATAAAACTATTTCAGTAAATGGTAAATATAAAAATCTCACACTAAAGGAAATAAAGTTGTCTAAGATATTAGAATCATGTAAAGACTGCAGCTAGTAACTGTACTTAAACACTAATCACCCTACATTCTAGTTTGTAATAATTGCATATGAGATTCATTCATGTCTCAAACAGTCTCATAGCACTGCATATTTGTATTAGTTTGTATATCGAATACAATTTCCGAACTCAACAATGTTTGTTTGGACCTATAATGGTTACCAGTCCCCACCACTCCCTTTTGGATTCTTCATCTCTAACCTTGCATTTGTTAGGAATGCACTAAAAAAATCGACAGAAGTACTTGAAAATGACTCGACGCCATACATTTGAGAGAACCTTCAAATGATATCGTGTCCTTTGTTTATTGTCTTTGAAGTGCGTTTGTAGTGTTATATTAGTAGCTTTTAGTGATTGAGCAGCTCATTCCTAGTCTTCTTGTAGTGAATTTTTAACAACTGAGTCTAAATTCCCTTATCCACATAGCATAAAAGATACGTTAGAGGGATGCAGATATCATATGTGTAAAAAATTGTCAATTTGATGTTTCTGGATCTTCTTCCAAATTGAAGATCCTTCTTTTCCAGCATGTGTATAAAATTTTCTGTATCAGGTAAGCAGCACAACAATGTGGAACAGGCAAACACTTATTGTCATTCAAAAGTCCTTCCTCTGTAGAAAATATATACAAGAGAGGGTGCACTAATTCTATCTGATTAAATTCAAAATTCCAAGTACATTCTCAAAATAGCTCAAATTATATGTGCATGTGCAGCATGTGTAATTGTGTGCGCACATTTGATGGAAACACGGCAAAACTTATACACATGTATACAAGTAAAACCATTTAAGGAATCGAACATGAAAAGATAACGGATTAAACAAAATGTATATGTTTGTTGTATGCATACGAATTGATCTTCCTTATTTATTGCATTGTTCACCTAGAATCATATAGTAACACATAAAAGTAAAATTTAAAAGCAATTAAATCACCAAAACCCTAAACTTTCAATCCAAAACTGTGATCAAGTTTACCTGAGGCATTTGCCACGCACAGGGAATATCTAACCTCGAAGCAGCAAAAATCTATGGAGATAACAAACATATACAAACAAGTTGAGTAAGTTGCATGTACAAACACGTAGAACAATATAAAGGGAGATGGGGAGTGACCTTCTTAGAATCATTGACGGGGGAGTGACCTTCTTAGAATCATTGACGAGGCAGATGCCAACATTCCTTCTATAACCTTGGGTAGGGGCTTCCATTGCCGCTGAAGAAAAATGATTGGGAAGGTGTACAGAGGAGTCTATGTCTGGTATAAATAATGGATTTCCGGCGGAAGAGTGGAAGGTGCGAAAATTTAGTGAGTTTAAGAGGGCAAGTTGGGAAGGATGGAGGGGGAATGTGGAGTGTAGAATTAAGCAAGGCGAATCGGCAGCGTATATCCATTCAATTCCAATGCTTCTCTTTCTAACGTGTAAGGGGAAGGGCATATTACAGCTCCCCGGCTTACAAAATTCTGCAACGAGTGGGGCTTGTGAGGGGGATTTTAACTCTAGCTGTTTGATACAAAACAACGGAGCAGATGCAAAGGATGTTTGACTTACAACCGCATGAAAGAAAAACTCAAAAAGCCACTATCGTGGCGGTGACGGTGGCTAAAGTGTTGGATTTTTAGATCGCTGGGCCCGTCCTCACTCTAACGACACCAATACTGTTGTGGAGTAAAAAATAATCAAGAAAATTATAGAGGCGACACGTGTACTTTTGGGTGAAAAGGACAAAATTAGCCTCGAGTCATACCGAAACTCTCACGCGCAAGCAGCGGGCAATCACAACTCAGTCAAGTCAAAAGTGATCAAAATAGGTATTCATTCAAAACCTATTTCATCCATCCTCATCAAATTCTCCTCACAAGGTAACCCTCAATTATTCATTCAAATTAGGATTAATTGATTAATTAATTAATTAATTAATTTTCTAATTAATTTCCTAATTGATTGCAAGATATTATTTTGACATAATATATTGCAATTACACCCAAAAACCACCATAAGTGGCCGGACCCCTTTTCTCCAAATAGGGGTCAGCCACACCCCTATAAATAGCTCACATTTCTCCCAAAAACCTAAGTCCAATTCTCTTCTAAAATTCTCCAAATTTCTCTAAACACATTCTCTCTCAAATTCTAACTTTGGCATCGGAGGTTCTTCGACCAAAGCCCCCCCCAACAAAAATCATCGTAGGCGAGTGAGGCTCTTGGCCTTAACCTAGGGTTTAATTGTTTTGCAAGTGCATTTTCGTTGGAGAAGAAGGTGGAAATTTGCATCCACAAATTGGTGCTTTCATTGAGAGTCTTGATTTACAAGCTCATAGAAGACTTTTGCATTCAAGATTTCTAATTTTTTGTCCATTCGTAGATTTTTCGTATGTTCTTATTCTTGGAATTTTTATTTGTAAAAATTCTTTGATAAAACGTAAAAAAAAAGTATGATGGCAAGAGATTCGGAAATCACGACGAACGAAAATTCCAACGCTCAAGAGTTAGGACCGTGGTGATTCACAAGGTTAAACTCGACAACAAGTGGAGTGGCACCACCACTGCAGCCACCATAGTAGTCACCGCGGTAGCCACCACCATGGCAACCTTTGGCAAGTCCTTAGCCCACGGTGGGTAGCAAACCCAGGCACAAAAAGCAACCCAAGCTGCTAACCTAGCACCATGAGCCCAAGCTCAACTCATGGCCTAATTTATGCAGGCCCGTGCGACGACGGAACCCAGCTTGGCCTACGGTGAGCAAACCCAGGATCATGCAGCTGTAGCAAGAGCAGCGGCCCAGACCTCGTGGGCCCAAAGCCATCACGAGCCCAGTTCACTCCAAGGCTGAGCCTAAGATCGAAGGGCCCAAGTCCAAGGTGAGCCGACCCGGCGTGAGCCCAGCAGCCCATAGCCATGGCCCAGCCCACTCTCGTGGCCTTCTAAGCTGCCCAAACCAGTCTAAGGTCGGTTTAATCGTCTCG